GGCTAGAGGGTTGGGGGTGTCACCGGATTGGGTTTCTTTGGGTTCTGTGTTGTTTCATCTGTCTGGCTGTCGGGTTGGAATATGGATAGCTGGTTGGGGGTAGGATACCACGGGTGGGAGATAGGCCCCACTGGCCTTCACGGTCTGTCATCACCCCCTTTATATTTACTTTATGTTTGTGTTGGGGCCCTGGTTTGTGGGGCGCCCTAGTTTGTTGATGGTGTAGTGACTGTGGTGCCGGCCCTAGGAGTGTCTTGAGTTCGTTAAATATGGTGCAAGGGGTTTAGCTGCCATGCCTGCCTCGACAGATTACTTAGGGGAGACTGACTTCGTACCACCCCTCTGTCATGGCCCTCTAGGGGGACTAGTACTGGAACGCTTTCTTGGGCGCTGGGTGGGGTGCGATGCTGGAGGATTTCATTTGTTATAATGTTATGAGGAATTTTGATGCAAGACCAGAGCTGGGCTGCCGGTGGTAGTATTTTATTTAATTTGGTTGGGATTTCCATGACTGGTCGGTTGCTCGGCTTCAGCTATGTGACGCGCGGTTGGGCACATACCAGAGTGTCTACGGGTAAGGTGGATGGGTGCCGGGCTGTTGATGGACTTGTACTTAGCTTTCGTGTATTGCTCGCTCACGGGAGGGTTGGCTTGTGGAGTTTCCTCGGTGTCTCTAACGGGTCAGGATGGTCTGGATTCGGAGGTCGCGGTATCTTGTATTTAGTTGTAGGTTGGCCTCGGCTCGTGTTAACCTCCTGCCAGGGGAGGGACTAGATTATAAGCCATGTTTTGGCGCGACTAGTATAAATAAATTTAGATTGAATTTGGACACCTGTACCTAGGAATTACACCCTCTACTATCTGGCATCCTCTTGAACCCCTGAACCCTGACCTTGAACCTCTGAACCCCGAACCTTGTACAACTCGCTTCGGTTGTACCCCCGCACCTAGACCTCGTCTCCAGAATCCTGCCTGTCCTGATCATAGTGTACCTTGGACTACCCGACCCTCAGACCCTGTCCGTTACAGTCAAGTACAAGAAGGCTGAATATACTGGCAGGTGTACAAACAAATATTGTTTGTACTAGATAGGAAGGTTCAGGGGCCCAGGGGTGTAGAGTCAGGATTCTAGAGTTCCGGTCTTGTATAACTAAGAGAGAGAGAAAAAGAAGTATATTTTCTAAATACAGATACCCAAAGGTAAATACTAGATTGCATAAAGAAAGTAAACTCATAAGGGCCACACCTCATTATATAGACAAAGGAAATCCAAAGATTAGTAATCCTTTCCAAGTCACGTGCAGCTACAATAAGTCTACTCTCTTTTATTAGTTTCTATCACACAAGCTCACCACCAATCCTATAAGACAGCTGATCCATCTAGCTCAAAGAAAATCCCTGTACAGTAGCTACACTATCCTAATCCTGGTAGCTGTAATATTAACTTAAGTCTTCTTGTATTATAATCTGAGTATAGTTTCCATAGGGGAAAATGGACATCCATAAAACTATAAGCTATCTTCAGGACCCTAACTTAGCATAATAAGATATATTTAGAAATATATACTAAAACTTGAACCAACAACCCTTGTAGAAAGAAGAGGAGACAGAATAATAAGTAAGAGAGACTTAGAGAAGTAGAGAGTCCAGCAAGTAGTGGGAATAATACCTACATACTAGAAGTTTCTCTTTTATATATGACTACTAGACCTAGAGGAGATAGAACAGGTTTAATTTCATTGCTAGATTTATTTATTTATTTATAACCACTGACCCAGAGGGAGTAGAGATGAAGTTCTCAGCATTAGAAAACTTACCTAACATACAACTAGTAAGCTCAGAGAAGACAAAATAGATTTTATCTTTATTAAAGGATTTATTTTTTGTCTACAACTGCTAGGCTGGAAGGGCAGAGGTGGGTTTTATAGGGTTAATAGGTTTACGAAAGTATATGACCACTGGGCCTGAAGGACTTAGAGATATGGTGGATTTCATTTGTGGAAGGATATCATTTAGATAGGCACTTGGCAGGGTAGCAGACCAACTTCTGCAATAGGGGCCCAAGGGCTAAGGGGTATCCCATGCCATACTCAGGAGTTGAGAAAATTCAGGGCCACTTCCAAAAAGAGATGTGGTATTTATATGTAAACCAAATCAGGTTAGAAAATTCAAGTAATAGACTATAAATGAGTTTTGGTGTCGGCAAAAAGTCAGGGCCATTGACTAAAGGGGATATACTATGAGTGATATCCTATGAGTGCAATGATTGTGAATGAACAAAAAAAGTCAAAATACTGCTCAAGTAAGCTATTATACAAAACTTAATATCTTGTTGGACCTCCATCTACATCGATAACAGCCTGTAGATACTCAGATATAGTATTAATAAGGCTTTCAAGCCTTTGGTTTTGAATTGCATTACAAACTGTGCTTAAAGCCCTTTTCAAAGTCTGTATATCTCTAATTCTACTTTGTGTTTCCCTGAGCTCGTTTTCCATATCTAACTACAAGGCCTCAATCAAATTGAAATCTGGAGATTGGGCTGGCCATTCGGTTGTTTCTACCTGGTTAAGATTTCTGTAGTGAATAGAGTGACACTTATAACCAGGAGGACCATCTTCTACCACAGTTATCCAACCATAGTTTTTACAATGCTAATGCCAAAATGGAACAAGATGGAGATATATTATATTCCTAACATATAAAGTAGAATTTACCTTTGCTTTACTCAGAATAAAGACTAATTTAGACCTTATAGTCCCACAAAAAGTACTCTAAATCATTTTCATTTCCTAGCTGGACTCAAACATTTTATTAATACAATTTAAGTAGAACTCCTCACTGGCTTTCCTTGTCATCCAAGGCCAATTACCAAAGCCAGTAGTTGAAAAGCTAGACTCATCAGTCCAAAGTATCCAGACCCAGTCATCAAGGGTCCAATTGCGTTATTCCTAACATCAGGCGACACAGATTAGGCAGTTGGCCAGTCAGATTGAAAATTTTCACTGAGGAAAATGGTGATAGTAGCCCAAAGACTCCATCACACTCTTTACAGTATGAGCACTGCAGGCATAGCCCATCTCAAGGCATATCTTGTCCTAGCTTAACCTTTGTGTTCGAGAATCCTGTGTTACAAAGGTCTCCAATCTCTGCTTTTCAGCATTGTCGAATATTGGAGGCTGGCCAGAATGGTGAACATTCAAGAACGTTCCATTTTCCCTGGTACATATATATATCCGTAAGAACATAAAAGAAAGTCAGATTAAATAATTCTATTAAGTACTGGGAAGCATACTTACCTTTTAACACATTCAGTAGGAGATGTTTAGATCTTGACCAACCCCAGTCCAACTCCAGTCTGCGTTATCATGGAGCATGATAACTTTAAGACACTCATCTCATATAGTTTCACAATGCCAAACACCTTGTGGATTCTGCTCTTATGTTCCTTTCTGCTACATGATTTTGGTGGCAATTGTATATTGGTTCCCATTGTGGGATAGGGCACCCATGATGTTGGGTGGTCTTTTAGGAAAGGTAGTAAAGGGGTATGGTTGTCCTGGTAGAGAAAACCTGTATAACAGGCCCCCAAATACCCTTACACCCGAGTCAATAACTAATTAGCTATTATGTATATAGTAGAATCAAATAAGGTTGACACAGCCACATCCCAGATACATGAAATACGCTGACATAATAATAAAGACAAAGGTGCTAAAATAAAATAAAATCCGGGTAGGGACTGTACAAGTAGTATCGTACTCCGCCAACAAATCCTCACTTCAAGAAGGAAACTATATTATTATAGCCCGCTGCCCAAATTGTACCATTCCCTTCTGATACTCCTACGGAAGGAACAATTCGGTCAATTCAAGGGGCCGTACGACCAGTCCCCGATACAGAAGTAGCGTACTGATGAGATTCACACTCTTACAGTGCTCTACTGTATCGCGGTTTATCGGCACTTGCGCCTACCCGGTAAAACAACCGTACCCTAAATCACGAATCAAGACCACACAACGTTAGAACAAATGTAGCGGTAAAATCAAAAGGAAAAGGGAATGCAAAACAAAATGCAAAGGAGTGCAAAGTATCGACAAGACCCGCCAAACAAGACACAGATCGGAGGAGCGATGCTCAGGAGATTTTCTTTCCTGCTGCGCGCCAGAGGGGAGCCCGGAGGAATCGAAAGGGGCGCTCATTTATTCTTGAAGCTGGAGAACAGAACAGGGGGAGGAAAGGGTCTGTGGTATTCACGCGATGCGATATCCCTATCCCACATCAACTCCCCGGAGCACTCCTAGAGCGATCATCTGCTTCACGCAATGAACAATATCACCCCCTCCCTGGGGTACGACCACCGCTATGGTGCCCCGCACCTTTGTCCCTATGTGACGTGCCATTGTGCCATCATCCACAAGCTTGCACCAGCCACCGCAATACGGCGGCACTGTATTGTGCTGTACCGGCATGATTGATACCTCCCACCAATACACCCCCACAAAACTCCAGTCACAAACTCTCACCCGGATGAACCGCCCGCCACCGGTGAATAGTAATCCTCTATAACTTCCCCACAAACCGGCCACGTCACTCCCAGGAAGCCAAGGTACCGGTAGGTTACAGTAATCCCAAGTACAAATACCGGTGCCGCCGCAAATTTTCAAGTCTCGAGTAATGCGCCAGCAGATGGGCGGGGCCCCGCAAACTCATACGGCACTCGCACCACCCGGCTCCGGGGATCCTGCGCACTCGGAGATAGGCTACCGATATCCGGATGTCAAGCCAAGGCTCTTCCAGGGAGGGGCGGGGAGACATATATGGTAACTGCGGGCCTCAGATTAGGGGGAGACGTATTGCTTCCAGGTTTTTGTCCGAGCTCCACATCATGACCCATAACCCGCAACAACGTTATCCTCGCAGTGAGAAGGCGATGGACCAAAATTCTCGCGCATCTAGCACAGTTTACATTCCTGTACCTTATCCAAATGTGCCCCCGACGGTTTAGCCAACTGTCTGCTCTCATTCATCTCATAAAATTTTATCTCAATCCCACACAACAAACGCTGTCGCAGCAATGGGGAAACTAAAGAGAGGGAAGAATAGACAAACGCAAGCTATCCATAAAGAGTCTCCGGAAAAAAAAAAGAAGAAAAGTGGAAAAGAATGTTTATACTCCCTTATTTTTTTTACCCCGCCCCTCTGGACAGAACAGATATGTGGAAAATTTGTTTATTAACAGGCAAAGAAAAATAACAAAACACCCATCTCTAAAGGTAGCGCACAAAATGTACGTTGTTTCCCACAATAAAAAAACAAACGGAGAAAGAAAATGGCATCACATATTTACTCCGAGTCACTGACTTCCATGACTTGAACAACAGGGCCCTCCTTCTCAAAAGACACCTCGGAAACAATCTCCCGACTGACGGGTGGAACACCAAGACCGTTTCGATTCCTGAAGAAGACGACCCCCTTTTCTTCACCATCGGCACCCTCACTGGGCTCAACAAACTGGCACCAACGGGAGGATCGCCAGAGAGCGCATAGGAAGCCAGCTGGGCCGCCTTCCGTGTCGGATCGATAGTGCTTGCCCATAACCTTCTTGATGGCCTCGGTGGCCTCGTCGGCCTTGTAGAAGGGGATGCTAGAGACGAAGTGGTGGGCAACGTGGGTCTCGATGATACCGTGGAGGAGATGACGACCAATGAAGCCGAATTCGCGATCAATAGTTGCGGCGGCACCACGGGTGTAGGTCCAGGACTCGGGGTGGTAGTGAGGAAGCGAAGGGTCGGTGTGCTGGAGGAACGTGATGGCAACTGATGATCTGCCTTAGCCAACCGATCGTAACCGCCAGAGACCGACAAATGGATTCAATGATGTAATGACAAAACTTACCGAGCCAGTGATTCACCCACAAATACGGACCAATGTACCAGATCGCGATGTTCGCCAAACCCCAAATCTGAACGGCCTGGTAAAGGAAGTACATCATCACGGCAATGCCGACATCGCTCAACAGAATCCACTTGGCGTCTCGGTTCTCGTACAACGGACTCCGGGGGTCGAAATGATTGACACCACCGAACCATCCATTCCTCTTTCCAATCCCGCGTCCCTCAGACTGGCGCTCGTGGTAGGGGTGCCCGGTAACGTTGTTTACAAGATACATGGGCCACCCCAATAGCTGCTGGCCGATAAGGTGCACCAAGGTTGCAATAGGGGTCTCCTCGGTCAACTCGGCGATGTCGTGGCCAATACCACCGGCATAGCGGCGCGAGTATTCCTCACGAGACTTAGGGACGAAAACCATGTCACGCTCGAGATTTCCAGTTGCCTTGTGGTGCTTTCCGTGGGAAATCTTCCAAGACCAGAAGGGGACGAGGAGGGAGGAGTGGAGAACCCATCCAACAAGGTCGTTTACTGTCTTCGAAGGAGAAAACGCACCATGCCCACATTCGTGAGCAAGAACCCACAAACCGGTAGCGAAAAGCCCCTGAACAAACGAGTACACTCCCCACGCAACAAACCTGGAGGCAGGGTGGTATTCCGCCAGAGCGGGGATGATGTGGAACTTGAAGGCATAGAAATTGGAGGACACCAAAGCCAGATCACGGGCTACGTAACCGAGGGAGCGGAGGGTGGAGCTCTTGTAGCAGTGAGTAGGAATGGCATCCCGAATCTGCTTGATGGTGAAGTCCGGGAACTCAAACTCATTTCCGTAGGTATCCAACATCGGCTTTCGGGATTTCTCATTGACCAGCGCCATAGATGAAAGTGAAGTCGATGAGGACGAGGCGGATGGGGCCTTTGAAGATGAGGTTGAATTGGCGGTGAGAGGGGTGGACGCCTGGGAAATTGAAGACTTGCGAGTTCTAGAACGGGTAGCCATGTTCAGAAGATCAAGTCCTACGGTACCCGCGGGTTGAAAATGGTCAGCTATCGCATCACCTCTCCAGACTCTCTCGCAATTCAGGTGTAGGCTGTCTTCTATTAGGCCCAAGGTCTATTCCCCCCTCGGCCAATTTTCTCTAGAATAGCCAACCCCCTTTCATTCGATCCCCCATTTGCCTCGCTGTAGGTCAAGCATCGGGAAAAAAGGCAACACAACATGCAAATGCGGGTCTCCACCCCTCCCGGAAGCAATTGGATAAACGAATCGGAAAAGAAAGAGAAAAAAAAAACTCACCCATTTATCTTCACGTGCGGTTCAATTCCTGTTCACCCTTTGGTTGTTGCTCTTTAGTTGTCTTTGGTTTTAGTTTCTTCGACTCTCCCGCGGCCAGCTCCAGATCTTTAAAGGAAGTGGAGGATGGCAAGGGGACGGTGGTGGAGAAGCACAGAGATATACGGTGAGAAAGAGAGGAGGAAGTAGTATAATTCTCGGGTGGCTCGCTAGACCATAGCCCTAGGACAATCTGGAAAAAAAAATATCAGGGGGAGGGAAGCAGCGGCAAACAGGGTCCGAGAGGGAATGGCTCGGTTTTCTATTTTTTTTTTATTTTCTTTTACCTTCCGGGAGGGGCATAAATTTTCTTTGCTGGCGGATTCCGGGAAGGGAGGAAGAGGCAAGGGAGGAACAGACAGAACACTTGACCAAGTGACCTCGCACTGTACTGCCCGCTGCAGCGCTGCTCCTCGAGCACAACACAGTCTTATGGTCTACCATACCTCTCCTTTCCTCCGCCTTGCTACAAGTATTGTATCATACCGGTAGACTGCGCAGCAGCGGGATTCACTCCAGCGCTCTATTAACCGTACCGTATTCCCTTTCGTCTGACAAAGACTCTGCATCAATTTCCCAATTCGAGCTGAGCAAACCCGACGATCATGAGCTGTCCATCCAACTCGGTCACCGTCCGAGTTTTCACAAACTTTGGGGAAAGGACAGATCATTTGTTTCCTCTGCATCACCAGTGTGGCTCTAAATGCCGTATCTTGCACCTTTTTTTTCCTTTTTTTTCCACCTCTCCCACCCAGCCCGATCCATTTCTCCGGCTAGGCCCCCCCATCCCTATACGTCCCGAAAGAAACTCAAACACCATCCAGCAGAGCTCTCTAGCAGATGTACCGGTATGCCTCTCTACCCAAAGGTATTATACCGGTACTATGAATACCAGCACTGAAGTAGGGTGTCCCACCACCACGGCCTCCCCATCCCCCCCTCCTTCCTCACCAGAAGTTTGTATGCAACACAAAAGAAAACAGATCGCGGCAACGCCCGAGTCTACCGAATACCGTGCTACCGTGGAGCCGCCCTTCTTCCATATTTTTCCTTCCTTCTCATTCGAACGTTTATCTAGAAGGCACATATATATATAAAAAAGAAAGCCCTTATGCAGGGCCAGACAGGAATGAACCAATCAAGTGTACGGTACTTGTATAGTTCCTAAGATCTGGCCAAGTGGGGGCCAACTGCTTTTTTTGCTTTTTCTTCTGTGTTTCGGTGGGAAATATTTATCCTCCTCGCCCACTTTAGAATTTGTTGAGGCGCGGCACCAATACCTTATTCTGTCCCTTACCTAACCACCACTTTCCCTCTTTCATTCCCTGTGCGAGCTGACGATGCCGTATGATCAGATCAGCACTCCCTCCGGATCCACTTCTTCCCAGCTGATGGATGAGGCGATCAGAATCTCCACGATAAGCTTCGCAAGACTTCTCAACACAACTAAAAGAACCTTTTCTCGCCTTCTGAATACATAATATTCCAAAATTCAAAGCCAATTGAGGTTCCTCCAACAGCTTCGATTACCCGAGTACCCATACAGTACCGATACAGATAAGGTTTCTCCAACGGATCAAACCTCTTTATCCCGAACCTCCATGCCCAACCGCATCTCCCAACAACATCGCTTCCCATCCCCACAGTTTTCTCGCCCCCTCCCACCACTCTTCCCACCCGCCCACTTCACCTTATCAACCATATCGATAACCCAGCTGCACCTCTTCCTCCCTCTAGAGAAAAAAAATAATCCAGGCCCTCTTGGCTCCAACTCCATTGGATCACTCACACCAACGCAACAGTAATGATCGTCCACTGCAGTGCTACTTGGAAAAGTACAGTACAGTACCGGTACTGTACACACGAATAGCAAAATCCCCTGATAAAAAATAAAAAAAGCAGGGAAAAGAAAAAGAAACAATCCCCTTCCTCCCTTGTCGATCACATCCTTGAGCCTCACACCACCGACCAGCCACAAGCCGTCATCCCCAACGGCCGAACTTCAGTCAAAGTGGCATGTGAAAGCGCTCCAATCCCTGTCTCGCCTGCCAGATCATACGGAAGCGAGCAATTCTCGAGTGCCGGGTGGAAGAGGCATTCAGCCCCCCGGATTGAAAAACGTTTACCGGTATGCGAGTCCTGGACTTCGATGTGTGTGTAACGTATAGTGACGCCTTTTTTGGATAGAAATCTAGCAGATCCACCCATGATTTGGCACCCGAAAAGTGCCCTTTCGACCCGGGGCTCAATGCCTCGAATCGAAAACCGGCAATTGTGGTATCCCACACTGCACGAGTACCGTAGGCCACTGCGCTTTCCCCCCCGCCAGAAACACAGTATGAATTACTGTATATTACACATCGCGGAGCGGAGCTTACCCACAAGCGTCATAATTTCTACTTTCCTCCAAAATCCGGTGCAAACATCCCCACGAACCCCCGAGTGAGGTGGGGAAGAAATACCGGTAGATACCGTAGACACAAAAGGAAACCCGCGCCGTTCGTTCAAGCATGTAGATATCCGGAAATAAGTCACAGCAACCATGCACAGCATCCTCCAGCTGAACGAGGTCTCGGACAGCACATGGAAGTGAACCCACAACAGGAATTCCGACGAGCACCGGCCCACCAGCCCAACAGAATTCATCGATAAAACACCCCTCTTAGCCTCCTCGCAGATGGGGCCACACAGAATCACGGATTACTGTGCCCGAGTATCGCTGTCTGGGGCCCGACACCGGGATAGTTTGTTTGTTTGTTTGTTTGTCTGCCTGTCCGTTCGCACCGGAACCGCGAGGGCAACAGCCGCGTGCGGGTGAGCACAATGGATAGAGAACTGTATGCGGCCTACGATACTCCACGATATCACATACGGTACCATACTGGTAGATTACGATACGGTGCCGAGGGAGTTTTGGTTTTGTCATGTATTTGGCGATCATGATGCTGATGAGCCACACAGAGGCAGAGACAACATGTGCGGTGCTCGGGGAGAATGCTGGGTGGAGAATCAAGGGGGAAGGAAGGATCGGGTATTAGAAAATAAAATAAAAAAGAAAGATTTTTGAACTGCTCTGAAACGGATTTGAACCGTTGATCTCGTCATTACTAGTGACGCGCCTTACCAACTTGGCCATCAGAGCGGATATAGGTCTCAGGAATGTCTTCGAATTTATGATCTTAGTTCCAAGATATTAGCGCCAGGATATGGTACGAGTACTTGAAATGAGAAGCTCATCCCTCAACCTCGCTCCGTGCCCCACGCGCAACAAGAGCGGACCATACGAGGGCCTATCAACCCTCCACTCTATCCGAGCCTTACACCCCCACACATCCCAACCCCGCCGCCGCCACTAAACCGCACCCGAACCAAGCCACTAAACCGTATAGCGCCTACCAAGATCATAAAATCTCACTCGCACGAGCGAGAACGGCAACTCCCACCAGCATCCCCGTGCGTGATAGTACCACACCGTCTCCCCTCAGAGCCCAACTCTGCCTCTTTCCAATTTCCCCATGCCCCTTCCGCCCGCTTTGCCCTCTGTAGCCCACCGGCCAAGTTCCGCTCCCTCTCTACTTGCCCCGCGGGTCAGAAGAGTGTAATCTAAGTACTCGTACAATGCACAATCAGCTACGCGGCGGCGCGCTAAACCACCGGGCGTCACTGATGTCGCTTGCCTGTATTTTCGCAGGTGACCGATGCCGTGCCCTCTATATGTGCATACTGGGAGTTCGCGCTAGAGAAGGCGAGAAACCGTGTTTTTGAGGGGGGGGGGGTTGCATTGCGTTAAGGCCGGGTGTTGGCGTGTATGGTATTGAAAAAGGAAGGGGGGAAGATGGATGCTGGAGTGGCTGGCTTTCGACTGTCGTGTCGCTTGTTCCCGGAGTCCGTTTGGTTTAGGAGGTGGGTGTGCCCGTGTTTTCTATAGGGTGGTAGATACCGTTAGAACGCGATATGCGAGTCGTTAGCCGAGGGAAGGGCGGTGGCCTAGGCCTGGTCTTTGTGTTTGCCGCGCCTATAGTACCGTGACTCCTTAGGCTCCGTTTGGCTCGAGCCATTCGTCAATTCGAAACATGTTTTGCAAAATGCAATTTGGTAAAAAAAAATTGCGAAACGTGTTTTCAATCGATGGTTTGCCAAACAGTACGGTACATCTGACTGCTATGTAAAACATATTAATTTGTATTGATAGAATCTGGCAAGATGTTTTTAAAACATCAATTAGATTTTCCAGAAATGTGTTTTCAGTTTACAAAATCAAATGACGGTGCGCCAAACACTCTGTCAATTTCAGAATGCGTTTTGGGCCCAAAGCATATTTTGAATTGACAGATGGCTCGAGCTAAACAGAGCTTTAACCGCCCGGAAAGTTGCACGCCCCCCCCCCCCCTCTCCACGCGTAGAGTTCCGTTAGGGGATGGGCTCGATTCAGATTTCGAATCGCTTTGGATTATCCACCTCCCCAAGGGTGCGTATATGGCCCGCTGTTCCATGTGTTTTCCTTACTAATGTGTAGCCTAGAATTACCGGCATACCCAGGGACTTCCCGTGAGTGGCTAAAAGGGGAGAAGAAGGGTGGTACATCACAGGAAGATATGAGTTGCACTAATTAAACCCAGATCACTATCTTCCCCTATCAAGAACTAGCGAGCGAAACGTGAGTTGCTAGAGTGGACACCTTCGAGTTTGTGTCTCCGCCTTTAACCATCTATGATATATCCTGGATACCGGTATTTACTTGTTGAGAGTAGAAAAGACACAATATCACAGCCCTAGCTAGGGTGAGGAGGGCCCAATGATGAGTGCAACATATAATAGGGATGTCTACATCGCATGGGGGAAAACCCTTGCCTGCTAGAAAAAGTAGGGAGACAGGAACCAGAGGAGTGTATGAATATCATATTTGAAATAGAGGATATCAAGCTTATTAGAAGTTCGCAATATATCTACATTCCCTCCTTTTCTCCCACTACCCGTGCTACAAGCCACCCCAACACCGCTCTCCCTTCAAATAGAACCCGATTGGTTGATTCGTGGGAAAAATCGGGACGAATGACAGCAAACACAGTACTCACCACTAGAAAGATTCTTGGGCAAGCTAGTCGTTCCGGGGACAATATACACGAGTGGATCTAAGTCCATCAACGGCAAGGGTTCTGGTAGAACCGGGTTACAAGAAGGAGATTCTGTTTCACAGCCGAGTCCCAGATGCCATCCGAGTACTTCAGAGGGCTATCCTCACCTTCTCGTTATCCCAATATGTGTTGCCCTCCCACCACCTATCATCCAAAGCTGGATGCGATTATAATGACTTCCAGGACTGCCATCTCGGGAGGAGATGAATTACAAACTTTACGATTTTCCGGGGATTCAGTTTTGAAAGGGACCAACCAACCACTCTTCGGACTTGAATGGGCGATTGGCCCACATTTGATGTTTCCCATCCGTTACAGACTTGGTGTCCGCCCAGCCTTTGAGTCTACTTGTATAGTGGAGAGCAACCCTGATTCTTCTAATCTTTGGCCTTGAGGCGCACTACGGTACATTTTACGAGCCCAATAAGGACCTAGCATCTGGATGATAGGAAATAAACCACAATATGTCACTCGTCTTACATTGTGACAGGCTAATTACACAGCAACACGTTATTAGCAAATGATGAGATCACCATACCCGCATTAGCGGGGCAGGTGTTGAAACGGTATTTGCGAGCTAGCGATTTTATCCTATCGGGGAGTTCTAGGAGGGCTAGGCGCAGAGCGGGGATCCAAATGTAGAAATCTAGTTCGATACGCGTTGCAAGCTACGTTCCCCTCTCCCATTCCGCGCAGTACCGTAGTAACTTACCTGTATGGCGTTTGGCTTCTGTTGCGGGGGGCGGAGGGCACCTCGGGAGGGAAGGTGCGGGCTGCGGGACCGATACAGAAACGGTGGTGGATTGAGACTCGTGTCGCCGATGTATCTCCGCTCGGATATTGGTCGTTGCCGAGAGTTATCTGTTTAAACGAGTGGTTCTGGCTCTGCTGGCGGCTGAAGCACTTGACGATGGGCTCCAGTCGAGAGAATCACGAGCGGTTATTCGTGGGGTCACTGGATCATCGACAAGATGCATGTCGGGAACTTGATGTAGTATGGCGGGGGGAACGTACAATAGAATCGAGCACTTGATGGTGGTCGTGGATTTGGGAGTGAGAGGATGGTCTACGCTGGCATGCTGCTCCTCGTTTCAGGACTCGTTGTACGGCCGTATTTTGCACCGGACCGAAGAGCCATAGGTAGACTACGTGGTGTTTCATGAGCCAAGGGGGCTCTCGGAGCCGCAATCGCCAGCGGGTCATGAACCACGTCTTTTTGACGGGTGCGGTGGTGTGCCTCGGGTCGCAGGTCATTTTGTGAGGTAACGATGACTAAGCCCCTGTTAAACCCCCGTGGCTTAGTCACGCGGATAGGGATTCAAAGACCAGATTTCTGATTAACATTCATGCTACCGCCTTCCTCCCGATATTCTGGCGCTGTTTTCTCCCAACTCGACATAGATCACCCCCCTTTTTTACTCTTACTTCCGACTCTCTATCGAGCCTTTCATACACTTTCTGATATAGCGAGCGAAGCTTTAACACCCCACTACTTCAAAAGAACGCTATACGAATAATGTCTGTGGACAGGGGTGGCGGTCATAACCGATCCGGTAGCATAGGACGAAATGGAACTCATACGAAAGACGACTCGAGCTCTTATTCAAGCGGCCTTCAAGTGATTGACGAGAATAAGGAATTCACGTACGTTGTCCGACCACGTTTAATTGTTTTGCTCGTTGCGCGAGCGGCCCCTTTAATGCCCCCTGCGTTCTCTCCGCGAGAGCTCGATTCTAACCTTTAAGCAGGGCAGAGCTTCCAGCATACTTGACGGCACAAAAATTGATCACCGCCGGTTTCTCATATCATGTCGTCGCTGTCTTCGGCTCTCAGTCCACCGGCAAATCCACCCTTCTCAACCACCTGTTCGGAACACAGTTCTCGGTAATGGACGAGCAGGCCCGCAGACAGACCACCAAGGGAATATGGATGTCTAGAGCTGTCGAGGATACTAAGAGGTCCGATCCGCGTGGAATGGGAAATAATATCCTAGTCATGGATGTTGAGGGTACCGACGGTAGAGAGAGAGGGGAGGATCAAGACTTTGAGAGGAAAAGCGCATTGTTCGCACTAGCGACAAGTGAAGTTTTGGTGAGCTTTAGTCCCTTTTATTCAACGTGGGTCATAGCCGAAGTGCCGTTGCAAGGGTTCACTGCTTCAAGAACCTACGGGGTGGATTTGATTTCTATATGCTGACATTGAATCTCCTAGATTGTTAACATTTGGGAACATCAAGTTGGTTTGTACCAGGGTGCCAACATGGGTTTGCTCAAAACCGTTTTCGAAGTCAATCTTGGTCTATTTTTGAAGGATAAGAGGTTTGCAAATCCTATGATGCAGTCACCAAGACAGCGCTGACACCATTTTCTAGCACAACTCATCGATCTCTCCTGTTCTTTGTAATCCGTGACCATATTGGTCATACCCCACTCCAAAATCTTTCGAATACACTTATGCAGGATCTCAACCGGATCTGGTCCTCGTTGTCAAAGCCACCAGGTTTGGAAGATTCGAGAATCAGTGATTTTTTCGACTTTGAATTTGTCGCTTTACCCCACAAGATCCTTCAACCAGAAAGGTTTGTTGAGGAGACCCAAAAACTACAAAAGCGGTTCCGTGAAGGTATTTCGCCGGGGGTGGATGCTACGAGCGGGTCCAATGGAGTGAGTCAGAGGGGTGGCGGCGGCGGAGTATTCCTGCCCGTATACCACAGGCGGATACCTGCAGATGGATTCCCGCATTATGCCTCAGGTGTATGGACGCAGATCGTCACAAACAAAGATCTTGATTTACCTTCCCAACAAGAATTGTTAGCTCAGTATCGCTGTGACGAAATTGCGGCAACTTGCACCGCCGGGTTTAATCAGATCATGTCACCATTTGAGGAGCAAGCTAAGACCGGTAGGGTGCTGGAGGGGCTCGGAAGTGCTATGGGGGGGGCCCTTAGCGAAGCAATGGGGGGATTTGAGGAATCCGGAGGGAGATACCATAAGGGAGTCTTTGAGCGCAAGAGAGAAGACCTTCGGGAGAACTTGGAGGGAAGATTGCGAGGTCTTGTCGTTGGCCAATTTTCTGCTCTCTCAAAGAGAGCTGTACAAGAGTTCACGGAAGAAGTTACAAGTATCCTGAAAGTGGCAAATGCTCCAGGGCGGAGCACATCGTCAAACTATGATTTTGCTGTCGTGGTTGGCCAGACAAGGGACAAGGCTGTTGATCGGTTCACTACAGAGGCCTCTGAGTTGCGCATCCCCGGAGCAGAATGGTCCGATCATGAAAATGAACTCACCTCTCTACAAATTGCACTAGATGAAATTGCAGCGAGGTTAAGGGGAGAGGAAATGAAGCGGCTTGTGGCTCGTCTCGAAAAGGCGATTCGAATCAAGCTCGCAGAGCCAGTTGAGTTAGAATTTAGAAGGATGGAAGATGACTCGAAAGAGAAGGGTAACCTCTGGGATAGGGTTTGGAAAGTATGGACCGAGACTGTTGGCGAAGGTGTTGAGGGCTTTCTTACACGGGCTGGTAGTCTTAATGCTACTGAGAAAGAGCGAGATATCGGGGCATGGAAACTGCGGAGGAAAGCTTGGGGAGTGCTTAAGGCCAAGATTGAGGAGGAAGTTATGGAGGGTAATATACTACTCAAGTTGAGAGAGAGGTATGTTAATTTGATTTTTGTGAGATTCTTGTACTTTTGCTAACTACCGACTAGCTTTGAGGATCGTTTCCGCTACGATGAGCAAGGGGTTCCTCGGGTATGGAAACCTACAGACCCTATCGAGCAAACTTACACTACAGCCCGTGAAGCAACACTCAAGTTGATTCCTCTGATTTCCCGTATCCGCCTCTCTTCAGGAGCGGAGCCGCCATTGGCCGAATTCCTCGGTGATCCGCCTAGCGACTTCGAGGAGGATGTTGATGAGATGGGCATTGCTAAAGACGAGTTTGAGGTAATTGGTGAAGCTAAACAAGTCGACTTGTCGACCAGGTTCAAAAGAATGGCAGATGCAGTTTTCGTTGAAGCTAAGAGGAGCACTGTTAGTTCAGTGGCAGAGATTCCGATATTTTTCTGGGGCCTCCTGCTCGCCTTGGGGTGGAACGAACTCTGGGCTAGTTAGTATCCGCAATCCGTGGTTTATGTGACGTGAGAGGCTAATATGAAAATCATAGTACTACGGAGTCCTGTCTATTTCATCTTCCTGCTCTTGTGCGGCGCTGCGGCATATGTGGTCTATACCTTGAATCTTTGGGGACCAATCCTTCGAATCACCAATGCTATGGGTCAGCAGGCTATAGATATTGGAAAGGTATATTATAATTCATCGTGTGCACACCCTTCTGCGGCGCAAAATGCTAATCCGTGTCTTAGGAACGCCTTCGTGATATCGTCGCCGATCAAAACGTGGCACACCCCGAAGCAGTGGACAGAACTAAAGGCGTTTATGATGACAGCGGGATCATTAAGCTGCAAACGCTAGATAGCGAAGGTAGAAGGCGAACTGGAATCAAGCAGGAAGACGACGACGAGTAGGCCACTAGACAGATCCTACAGGTGTTTGTGTTGGGGCATAATATTGGGGGGATGAGAGCTATGCACGGAGTGGGGGTGTAACTTCCCCTCTTAACCCGCCCTTGTCGTACCTGTCTGGCCTTTTTTTTGCATTATTCTGGGGCTTGCCTATTGTTTTTTTTATCACCACCACTCTCGGGACTGCTTGCCCGTTGAAGTTGGGTGTATTGTGTCTTTCTATCTTTTTTTCCTACAGTGTTGTATTTTAGCTATGGATTGTCACATTTCTTTTATTTTGGAAGGAGACTTTAAATACGAGCAGATAGATTTCGGGAGAACCCACGGTGATGAACCTGGGGGGGTATTATAGGCAGCTATCGTGAAAGAGTTTTTTTTTTCCCCTGGAGTGTATTGGGGGATGGGGGAGAATGGTGGAGTATTGTATAGTACCTGAGTGCTTGTAATAGTCTTTCTTTTCTTTCTTTTCTTCCTCTACCTCTGATTTTTTTTTGTTCCTTCATGGGAGGGCGGTTCATGCACGAGGTGAGATGAGGTTGGGGTTGAAGAGTGGTAGAAAAGAGGATTATGGAGGGGCTGAGTCAGTGCAGTAGCGGCGACAGCAATGAAGGGGGGGTTGGTGCATGTACTTTATAGTTACAGTGCAGCATACTACTTGCAAAATTATACTCAAGTGGAGTAATATTCTAAACATAGACGGCGGATGGATGATACTGGGCAAAGCTTACGATAACCAATCAACTCGATTAACAAACTGATATACGAGTATCGAGAAGGATGAGGATATTCACTTCTCCCTCCCTCCCTCCTTCCTTCCTTCCAGCACGGCTTCCGGGAGAGGTGAAGCCCGTCATATCATACTAGGAGCAAGACGGTCCGACAGCCCGACCTCGTGAATTATATTCATGTTTGACCTTATAGTGATAAATAATTAGTATATTCCTCTCCCGCTCCATTCCACACCGCTCCACTCCAAGGGGGGGGATATGGATGAGTGGGTAGTTTGGTGATCCTTGGAGTGATAATGTACTGTACTGTACTGTACTATACTGTACATCGATCTAGGTATGATAGGAGCTTCCGTGGACACTTTTCAGAGTTCCCGGATGGGTTATAACATCATATCGGGTGGGACGAGTGAAGTATTGACTATCATCATACTTGGGTGGATTGTCACGGTGGTGATGCTGGTGTCCCCGTGATGCTCTTTTTTTTTTTTTCTTTTTCCCGAAGGGAAGGGAAGTATGGTGGTCTCACTATTGGTTGGGGTTGTATCGTATGATCGTGCTGTGCTCGTATGAGATACTGTAGCCCAGTATCGTGTCATCCTTGTATTGAAAATTTGAAGCACACCGTCACATTCTAGCACTCGGGGGATTATTGAACTAATGAACTTGGAGTATTACTACTGTACTGTACCGTAGTCACTGCATGAGAGGGAAGGAGAGTTTCTCTGGTGCTATGTATGTATGATACTGGGTCGTGTTACTTTGTACAGTCCTATCCCACACCCCCGCCTCCCCCCCCCCCCCGCCGCTCTATCCATGCCTATCAACGGCAGCAGTTTTCATGAACACAAATCTGCAATAATTAGGGAGTGGATGCGGCAAGCCAACCTGACAGAGAGAGATAGAGAGAGCTGCCGCTGCAGAGCCTTGCACCGAGAAGCAGGGTAGGTGTGCAGGCTTAAACTGCCACCGCATTCCTCCCTCCCTTTCGGAGAGGTGTTGAAGTGGGAGGGAGGGATGGAGGGAGTGGTGGTGACTAGATAAGGGGGAGGAGGAGCCCAGCCGGATACCGGACACTTTAACGTCTGTAGGGTATGTGGATACGAGGTCTAGTACTATTATCAGGGGCTCGGAATTGGTTAGCTATCCTAGGATGAGTGCACTACTAGTTACTACTGGCACTTGCCTCGCCGCCGGTGAGACCGACATTGGTTTTGCGACTCCCGGGGGATTGGAATGGAGTGTTACTGGTTGGAACCCCCCCATCACACACATTCACTCCTATTCTTGCTACCTGTCTTGCGCCCCTTGGCCGATCAGGTATCCCAGTACCGTACTACGGTGCTTCTATTGTTGTTGCCTCTGTTAGTCTACTAGGCTAAGTCTACCACTTCTGTGGATATCGTACTCCTGCACTGGTCGGGGCCCCAGAGACGGTAGTGGTACCCACCACAGCTTCTGAGAAACCTCCAAACCCCTCGAAACCCTCTCCGCCTCCTCCAGCCCGCCACTAACTGCCTGCTCAGCCAACGACAACACATACAGCTGCTGCAGGGACAAAATCGGCAAATTTTTCGTGATGGAGAAGCTTCCCGGGTGAGTTTGGGGCTCGCAGGTCTGCTTGTCAGGGGTATTGAGTGAATGGGCAGCCTTCGGAAGGGTTCTTGTATTGTGGGGTCTTTTCCGCTGCCACCTCCTCCGCGACCGGTAGCTAGCCTACTGGTAGTTGGTTTTTGGCTGCCATGTTTGGTCGTAGGAGAATGCTTTCCCGCGAGGCGTACAGGACCCATCCGAAATCCCAAAACCCTGATGCTACGGGTGAGAAGTCATGAACCGCCACCCCAATTTTTTTCCACCGCAAGTTAAGTCAACTTAGTCCAGAATCCGAAAATACATAGCTCACCCGCCAGCTACTAACCAGTGTCACCTTAGCGTAACTAATGGTGTTAGAAAGTTAAAGGGAAAACAAAAAATATGCGCCAAACCCGGATTGAACGGGTGACCTTCAGATTACCCCGAGTTTGAATAACTGAAGTGGAACTTCAGTCTGACGCTCTCCCAACTGAGCTATTGGCGCTTGATGTTTCACAACTAAATTTTTCCATAAAGAAACATTTCGACAAAGCAGAAGAAAAGAAGAAAGAAAAGAAAAGAAAAGAAGAAAGAAAAGAAAAGAAAAGAAAAGAAGGGGAAAAACTCCCAACTCCCACTATCCCAAATTGCGCCCTTCACATCGGAAACAATCGATACAGTGCCCAAGGGCCAATCTGAGCCGCCTTTGAAAGGTGAAAAGCCACCATCCACAAACACACTCACTATTTCCAGGAGAACAACCTTTCCTTCCAGGTTCTTTTATCCTCCCGGTAAGCCCCCCGTCCCCATCCTGAACTCTCCCCACCACCGCCACTACTTCTCCCCTCCCCCTCCTCTAGCTTCTCCAATTCCTTCCTTAGCCGCGCAGCTAACTGCTCCGCGTCAACCTGCAATTCCATAGGTGGCTCCGCTGCCATTTCAAACCCAACAACGCTACCACTTCCGCTCGTCGTGGTCTCAAGAATCCAGCTGCTCCTTAAGCTTCCACTTTGGCTATAATGCGATCTAGGCAGTTGCGGCTCCGCTATCCGACAGACCTCTATACTACTAGAGGATCTAGCGGTATATTCGGCGCATATCCACGACTTGCCGATGCATAGTTTTGCCCTAGTCTCCGCGGGAGCGGGGAGCATAAAGTTCCAGAGGATTGGGCAGAGGTTGTGGGAGTTTAAGAATTCGCCTGATCCAGCAGCGGGTGAGAGGAGGTTTAGGGAATTAAAGGCAATTATTCCCCCACCGTGCCAGACGAGGCCAAGTTCCGGACAGTATTTTGTTTCGGCTGTATCGGGGACTGCGCCGTCTGCGGGGGCGCGCAGGTAGCGGATTTTGGTGCCGCCGCTACCCCAAATCTTGACTACCATTACTTGTCCGATGACACCACCCTGCCGGTATTCCCGGTCCCGGACGGAGCCGTAGATGATAATTTCGTGTTGGTTTGGAGCAAAGAACATGTCCATGTCTCGCTCCGGTATCAAGCTGAACAAAGGTGAGACATTGAAGTGGTAGGCTCGCAAGCTCTCCCCAGAAAGCGCATTGATTAGCACTACTCTATGGAGATTATCCCGGTGGGGAAACCTTTCGGCAACTAAGAGGTGTTTTCCGGGGATGTCGGGACGAATGGATATGAGGGTTTGAGGAGATATTCTAAGAGGTGAAACATGTAATCCTGTTGATGTTGATTCCGGGGAATTAGGCCCTTTAAAGGTTAAGACCATGATACTGCTACTTCCATCCTCTCGTAGCCCGTTCAAAAACACAACGTAATGATCATTGAACAGAGGCTGCAACCTCCGTCTCCCATCCGCAGCCGTCGAAGCCAGACCTGGAATCCCCGGAAAAACCGACGTGGTGACCGAAGCAGACCATATCGTCCTCCCATCACCCCCCTCCCGACAATCTGCTAGCACAAACATTGACGACCCTCGATTCCTGCCCCTGTCATAGACCAACAGAACTTTTCCCCCATTCATGTATACCCCGTTCAACCCCTCACGTGGCACCGTTACAAAAACCTGCTGTCCACTGACCAAGCTCTTCACAACAATGCGCACAACGGTGATATCCAATTCCGCCGTCAAGTAGTAACCCTTATCCGAATCGAGGTCTACAATCCTAAAATTTCCCGGTAGGAAACAACCATCACTCATAGGGCCAAGGGCAAAAGTGAATTCCCTCCGTAGCGCCCATTGCTTCCTCCCCAGCCTGCGTAACCTCTGCTGAACCATATTAAAACTCCCCATAGCAGTCCCAACCCCGCCAATTCCGCACGTCTCTGGGGCGAACGGGAAGAAGTGCGATAAGCAAAACCGACAGAAGTCGATGGAGGTAAATGCCTGGTTCCAAGCACGGGATACTAGGCAGACCGAAGCGACATCGCCAATGCTTAGCTGGCCAGCCAAAACGATAGCTTGTAGCAGCCCTGGGGGGAGCATAGTGAGTGACATCGTCGGTCGTAAGTTTGTATCTGGTGTTGTGGGTTGAAAAGGACAGTGACGCAAACAAAAGACACAACAACAATCAGGGAGGTATGTTGGAGGGGATAGGATCCATTCTGGCAGTAAAGGGTTCCGGGTTGACCGCCTTCCCGGGCAGATGTGACGTCGTCTACAGTGCACCCAAACTGAAGAAGCAGGCTGAGCTTTCACTCCGTATCAACAAAATCCGTCGGGTATTGTACTGTACTGTACAGTGCTCGTGTAACTTTAGTACCGAATTCGCTTTTTTTCCTTCCCCCTCCTGCCTCCCCTCTCCCCTGCTCCCCCCGCCGTGGGCCTGCTTTCCTGTCCTTTCCCCCCTTTTCACGCCTGGAGAATGAGAGAGCGGGAAATGGAGAGCTTATTTTTCCCGGTTTTATTCGGCCCGGAAAAAAAAAGGTGCGAGCTTTAGCCTGGGATGGAGGAAAGCGGTACAACAAATCTATGCAGTTCGTATTATACTGGCGGGGATTCTGAGTTGTAGTCCGACAGGGGTTCTTCCGCGCAATTTTTCCCCGATGCCCCCGACCGCTGGATGCATGATAAATTTATCATACCGGCACTGTACGGTACCATACAAGTAGCCGCGAACCGAGACCCGCCGCGCCTACCGGTACTATTGCTTCCAATCTTTTCCAATGAACACTCCGTGATAGTTGGTGGGAGCGAGGATAAGAGAGGAGAGAGGGGGAGATGTTACTGTACCAAGTGGTATCACTCTGTAGATGGCTGAGAGTATCATACCGTTATTGCACCTATGAGATTGAGCGCATTACTGTATACAGAGGGAATTTCAATATAATATGAGTAGAGCTAAACATATCTACGAATTCAGCCTAATTCCAGAGCAACCCTCCAAGTCCCTTTTTTATCGAGTCCGCGCGAAACATTATTCTCGATCCTTCATCCGACCTGTCTGTCATTCACCTGCCTCCTCCCTCCACCATCCTCTGAAAACCCTCACCCTCTCACCCCTCTCCCTGGCCACTCTCCTCCCCTCAACCGTCTTCATCCCGTCAGCCAACTTCAACAACTTTTCATCGAAATGTCGAATAACAGCCCCCAACCCTCCCTCCTGATCCTTAACGGCCCCGAAGGTGAAGGTCCGCCCGATCCCCAAGGCTCCAATGGCATCCAGTCGATCCGCATCCTGCACGATCGCTAACTCCGGATGCTGCCTTACCAGCTTCGCCACCTGCTGAGGATTCGCTTGCTCGTGGGAGTAGGAGACGTTGTTGATTAGCTTTTGAAGGAGAGACGCAAAGTCCGGCGGTGCCCCGGCTGACAGTAAGAAGTCTTCCGCGGGTCCGGTGGCGCAGGAGGTGGTGGTGGTGGCAGCGGGGGAGTACTTCTTGTCGCCGACATCGTGGAGGAGAGCCAGGAGAATAACTAAATTTTCGTCGTGGTGCGTTTCTGGCGAGGAGGCCCGCGTCGCGTGCAGGATGGCGAGGGATTGGGCTAGGACACGTTCTATGTGCTGGTAATCGTGGGAGGAATCATACTTGGACATGTAGTCCCTCACGAATTCCTTTGTTGCGGTGATTAGCGGAGTGTCTCCGGTAGCCATGATGATTTGGGATGTTTGGATTCTCATCTAATTGGAGCAGAATTGAGAGGTGGCCGGTGGTGTTTTTCGTCTCCAGAGAGGAGGGACCCTACGATGAATTGGATTTTGTTGGAGTGAGTCCGACTCTTTTTCCACCCCTTTCTCTTTCTTTCCTCTCTCGTGCTCTCTCCCCGGAGTTGACAAATATTGCTCTGCAGCAGCCCCGACTCGGAAGGAACCTCGCTCCAAGATGTACCTGCCAATTTGTGCCCCTCACAGCTGGAATCCCAGCCTCCGCGTAATAGCTCCGATTCTGGCCCAACCTACTTATGCCAGAGGCCTGACTCTCACCTGGACCCTTGACCATGGTATAGATTGACGGTCCAACTGCGGCTCGGCTGGATCACTATGGTATCGGCACGGCGAGCTCATCAGGGGCTGCATGGGACCGGTATGATGCGTGCAGCGAACACAGCACCCCGATCCATTGGCATACATTTACTATAGGGCTATGCTGCTGGGGTGGAAGGATGCCAATCCTGATTCTCGATGGTGCCGCTCCACTTTTACAGGTGTGATGGATGACCGGTGGAGCTTGCTAAGCACTCTATCTCTACGGTAGCCTAATCCAAAGGTTCTCGATTTTCTTCAAGCTTCTGATGAACATCCGGGGATCCCTTTTTTGTACCGGTACTGTACTAGTACTTTCCGCCTTAACACACGACACCTCAACCCCCCCACTTTCGCTACGGCCAACTACCGGTATAAAATAAACTTGACACAGAAAGGCTTAATTTCTATATCAGTACCAAGAAACCTCCAGAGAGTATCAACCGTGAGATATGACCATGACTATTCATGCTTCCTTCACTACCAGGCCCTACTCCAATTGAGTAATGACGCCCATAATCAGCTATAACGCTGATAGCACCAACATACGCACTTCAATGCTTTCTCGTGCATGCTTATACGACCTCCACTTCTCCCTGTGCCAAAAGGCCGAGTGCGGGGGAGTCCCTGTCTAGCGTTAGGCATTGTCGTGGGCCAACTAGTAACCCAAAGTAGTTTAATCTTACTTATCCGGTTTTCCCCGGCCCCGCTAGAATCAAACACCATGAAGGCGCATATCTCTTCCTTCATCATTCTGGAGAGATAATAGAACTGGAAGTCCGAGCTATACTTCACGAGATAGTTCCTGCGGACATAATCACAGCTAACATGAACCGAGCTGACAAGGTCTGAGGGCTTGACCGTTCGCGTGTCGCACACGGCCAACGGGATATCTTCAACAAAGTCGACTAGTGGGCGCCAGATGCTTCAGGCCGTCAGCACAATGTATATGAAATTATATATAGACGTCCTATCATAGCGCCCTTCCCAATTAACCCGATGAGTCGCAAGTGATTATTCGACGAACCAGAAGGGAAAAAAGACCCACCCCCGAAGATGGAGGATTCCCTCCATAATTCGGAGGGAACGACACAGAAAAGGAGGAAGATCAGGTTAATACCGGTAATCATACCGTAGTTGAAAAAAAAAACCCCCACCACCGAATATCAACACTAATCTTCAAATCACAACAAACATCGTGAATGTACGGTAAGTATCATATCATATCATACAGTGCACTGCAACACCCAGCGACACCAACAATAACAATAATACTCCAGGAGGATAAACTAGCAAGGTCCAAAGTTCTCGGTATGTATGATATGATACACCGGCGCCAGTAGTACCATACAGTGCTTCCCAGCCATAAAAGCGATTTCGGGTTACTTCACTGTACCTTTGCAGATAGAGTACGGTACAGTATAGTACAGTACATGGCAGCACGAGAAAAAACGTACCGTACGCCGCATATGATACGATGCCAATTACCGTACCGATTACCGTACCGAAAACCCTTCGAACCTGCCGATATCAAACCCCCCCACTGCCAGCGGAGCCGGATAGAGACCACGAGGGGGAAAAAGAAGAGAAGAAAAGTTCAAATTATCATTCCTAAGCCAATCCAATTCAAAACCAAGACTACTCTCTAGGAAGAGAAAGAATAACTTGCACAATCTATGTCTACCGTGCCATCAGCATCCCATCTCGGTCGATCCAAAGAGAAAGAAAATTAAAAAAAAAATACTACGCAATAAAAACCACTATTCTTACCCAATCCTTCTCTACCATATATCCTACACTATCCCATCCCAGCCATACAAAACTCCGAAATGTATGATAACAGCAATAATAATTACAAGAACTTGGTACAGCCAAAGAAAGAACTAGAAGAAACATTAACATAAATAAGAAATAAATGAAAAAAAAAAAAAAACTAGAAAAAAAAACTAAAAATGCAAAAGGTCATCATGTACCACAGGTATTGAACCGAGCCAAGTATGCGCGCTGATTGAAAACTCATAGAAACATTTCAAGATAGTGTGGTGTAACGTAAATGGGATAACGGAAAAGTGCCCCCCCCCCGATGCGCAATGGATGCCGGGGCACGAGTGACGAGAGGTGATGAACTGACACAGATGATCCTGATCGCATGTTGGTTTCCGTATACTTGTCCAAGTAGGCAAGATACCCTGTGCGAGAACGATTTCAAGATTTTCCGATCAATCCTTAGCCTGTCCAACGTTCCTCTCTAACCTATTTCTCCCCCCGATACAGAATCTTGTTGATTGTAACCTTCGTCCGTTCGATCGCAATCTCAGTTGGCGGGGTGAGGAGATTCCCATGCGTGCTCAACTGTGCCTGTAGTGGAGCAATCTAGTTAGCCAACCCAATTAATAAATGATATCCGTAAGAGCATAGGGGCGGATACATACACTACGACTGAGGATACTGGGTCGCGGAAGCAATCCTTTGGCCTGAGAGGGGCTTTTCCGTTCCTCATGGTCGACTAGGGACTCTAGTGGATGGCCCCACCTTACCTTAGCGGAAGGGTTGGGATCAAAGTTCTCTTCATCACCGGGACCAAGCATTGCGCCCGTTTCTTCCTGGATTGCTCGTCTTCGTGCACGGTCTTGCGAGGCTTTCAACGTTTGGACTTTCGCATTGGGGGAAGGAGGACGAGGAGCGTTCTTGTGGACCACTCTACGGGTAAAGTCGCATGAGTAGAGTTTATTCCTAGCGGTGCAGGTGTTTGTTGTACTTGCCAACTCGTGCGGCGTCATCTTGCTAATTGGAACATCTCTGAGGGAAGCCACGCTGACCCTCCGCATCTTGACTGTTGCAACACGTGAGGCAGGCACGGGAATACGAGGGGCCTTGGACAACTTGAGCGCTTTGGCGGCCGGTATCCTGAGTCTGGATGGTTTCACTTTGCAGGTCCCCACCGACCCCCCCGATTTTGTCAGGCTCTCTGCTTCTGTCGGCACTTCCGGCCCCTCCACCCCCTGGCCTGGCCCTGCTTCACCCTCGCCCACCCCCGTCCCCATCGCCCCCTCAGAGTCCCCCGTTTCCTCCCCGGGATACCCAGTCCCACCCGCGAAATCCTCACCTTCCGCTCCAGGCCCCTCTGATTCGCCCAGAAGTCCACCGCCTCGATCATCATTTTCCTCTCCCTCTTCCCCTTCCCCCCCACAATCCTCTTCAGTTTCCTCCCCATCACTGTCTCGAGCCATCGTCACTTCTTCCAACATCTCAGCCCCACCTAATTCTTGGGTTAACTCAAGTTGCGCTGGTCTATCTGATATCACTACCTCTGGCACTTCTGTTGGCTCTAAAATATCCGAATCCCGGGGGGCGTCCATGATAACCGCAATAGAAGCCTATGGTACATGTAACATGTTATTGCCAGTCCCTCATTATTAGGATTTTGAAAAGTGGGAGAGAAAAAAGCATTGGTCACTCGGATAGGCTGGAAACTCAGGAATGAAAAACGAGAAACCGTTTTTAGGCATATTGAACTCAAGAGCCACTAGAGAGAAAAATCAAAAACTTTTAAAATCAGAACACCCCCCCTCATACCTTCTCCTCCACATTGAGTGGATCGGCTGTTGCCTCCTTCGCTCCATCTTCATCAGCATCATCACTCTCCCCCTCCGCCTTCTGGCTCCCAGACTCTTCATGCTCGATGTCCCAAGCCCATACAATGGATGATCGGTCTGGGCTGACAGCTCTATTGAAAGAACGATCAAAGGAGTCATCTCCATCATCCAATCCGTGGCCTTGAAAGGCTAAAAGTGCTGGGGATGAAGGCGACAATCGCGACCTCCGGGGAGAAGGTTTGGCAGAGGGGAATGCACGCCGCATAACACCTTGATAAGCCTGCTGGAAACCCTCCGAAAGCTCAAAGTCCGCCCTCAACTTTTCAAAGACACCTTGGTATTGCTGAAGATGCCTTTGAGCCATCTCCCGACCCCGCCTCCTTGCACTCTCAGTTGTAGCTACCACAGCTCCATCAACACCATCATCATCATCGCCATCATCACCATCCGCTAGAGGTGCTATGTTAGTCAAGAAAAAAAGAGAAAAAGCAATCGTTGAAAATAGAAAAGTAAGACATACACACTAACTCCATAAGAGTTGATCCCTTAGTCGGGCTCCTCCCGAAACCGGCCACCGCCTCAGGTGTGGCAGGTGGCATCAGAAACGGCCCCAACGGCTTCACCGGGGTTGTTAAAGGCCCAGTTGATCTCGGTGTGCTCTCAGCACTCGGTGACGCGACCTTCCGCGGAGAGGGAGAGATCGTCGCTGGCGTAGATGGTGGTTGCATGGGCGGAGGGGTCACTCTCGGACGCTTTGGCAGAGGCAGTCCTCCACCTGTACTCCGCCGCTTGTGGCTAGCACCCAACTTCACAAAATCTGCTACCTTTTCCCCGGTAGGCTCAGAGAGCCTTCCCCTGGTTTTACGCTTCAATGAGGAGAGTCCATGACGTCCATCTTTGATTTCAGCCCCGATATCGCCACCTACAGTGTCTGCCACGCTGGGTGAAGACTTCCCAGGGTTGTTAGTGCTCCCTCCGGCATCCAATTCCCCCTCCTCATCCCCATGAATCTTAGCCTCAGTGACACTATCCTCCGCCTCCGGCATGGCGATGTTACCAATAGCCTCGTCGCCCACGGGCTCCGCCGCGATGCTCGTAGTCTCATCGCCGGCTGACTCGGCCAAAATACCTGTGGGCGCGGTGGTATTATCAACCAGGTCTTCCATTGTATCTCCGGCACCAGGCCCAGCCGGCTGTTGGACAGCCACTTCTTCCTCAATGGCCTCGCAAACTTCGGATTCTAGAGCTTTCGGCTCTAGGGTCGTATCCTCCGCGATAGCTTTTTCGGTATTCAAATCCCTAGTGCCAACCCCTTCAACAGAACCGGCTTCAACCATCTTCTCCACCATCTGTGCCTCCCCGGCCCGGGCCACTTCAATCTCGACGGGCTTATCAATGATAACATCTCCCACAGCGTGCTCGAGGACGGCTTCTTCGGCAACATGCTCTTCAGTTACCATTTCCTTAGTCTCCACCGGTGCAGCCTTCGCCTCCTGAACCTCCACCTCTTCGGCCTTAGCTTCCTCTCCAACCATAGGCACTTCGATCTCGGGTGCTTTATCGAAAGTGGCGCTTTCGACAGTGAGCTCTCCGGCAGCTGACCCATCAAGGACGGCAACGTTAAGAGCGGTTTCTTCAAGGACAGCCTCCTCGGCCACCGCGGCATCAGCCTTCGGCTCTTCGACTCTCGCTTCTCCAGCCTTGGTTACTTCGATATCAGTGTTAGCCTTAGTGATAGTTTCCTCGACAGATACTTGATCGGCAGGTGCCCCTGAAATCCTATTCTCCCCATCCTCCCCTCCCTGAACACAGGCCCCCGAGATGATATCGTTACCCGCGATCGCTCCCCCTGCACCTACTCCTTCCAAACTGCCCTCCAGGACACCCCCCTCGATATTCGGGCCTTCAATGGAGGTTTCCTCTTCGGCCTCCACTCCGGCGGCAGGTGGCTTTTTCTCATACTTTCTAGTTGTTTTTTGTCCCGGTTTACGCCCCCGCTTCGGTTTAGGCTTTTCGACATTGGTGGCTGCAGTCTCCTCGCTCGCCTCGACCTTTGGCTCAGCTGGCTCACTCGCAACTTCCATCTGTGGTTTATTAATCCCAAGTCCAGCACTTCGCCCCCTCCGGCAGCTTCCAGGCGGGATCTCTACCTTCTTGGCTCCACGTCTTCTGGCGGGTGCTCTCTTAACCTTCTCTGGCTCTTCAACCGGGACCTTGACATCCTCGGTTGGTATATCGGAATCTTCTCGGACCAGGAATGAGCTAGGTGGTGTGTCCGTCTTATCCTCAGTAATCATGCTGGAAGCGAGAGCCGAGGCTTCTCCGTCATCGGCGTCATCAGTGGCTGACATTTCGGGTTCAACTTCGACCTGTGGCCCGTCAAACTTCCGCCCTGGGTTCCTTCCCTTACGGATACCGGAGTCCGGGACTGCTACCTTCTTCTTCTGCACACCACGCTTCTTGGCTGGCGCTTTTCTGGCTCTCTTGGGCTTCTTCACCTCAGCCTCAATCTCAACGTTCTCCCGACCCTCCCCCATCGGTAAATTCAGGCCGGACTCGTGCTTAACAACAGGAGGCAATCCGACATCTTCCGGTTCTTGGACACCCATTTCCTCATCTCCTAGAGGGTTAGAACCAGAAACCTCAGGGGATGTAATAACCTTACGACGACCACGGGCATTTTTAATCGCGGCCTTTCTCCCCCTGTTCACGGTTGGAGGTGGCGAAGGTGAGGTCCGGATATTCGCCTTCTTGGCTGCAAACTCATCACCTTCATCGGAGGAGACACTCGGCTTTCTCTTCCTGCTAGCCGGTTTCGTAGCAGCCCTTCCACGGGGTGCCGGTGGCGGTGGAGGAGGAGGGGGAATGGAAGGGAGTGCTTGCTGAGCAGCTTGTGCGGCCCTGCTTCTGGTAGTCCTGGTGACTCTGACCTCTTCGTCTTTCTCGACAGCGGCGACTGCTTTGCGGCGCGCCATCCCGAAATAAATGTCGCAAAGGCAACCCGACCCAGAGATTGAAAAAGATTAAAAAAAAATTAAAAAAAGGATAGAGATAGAAACCGGAAGCGGAGAAATAAAGTACTCGTAAGGATATGATAATACAAGAATTACAGTAAGGCTCTGGTGCGGTTGCCTCGGGTGAAACCGTAAAAAGCAGGGCCGGAGTTGTTGTTGTGGTTGTTGTCGCGAAGGTTGGTGGTTGCGTGAAGGAAGATGTTGGTGAAGGGGGAAGGTTGACGGGGGCAAGGAGAAAGTTGGTGAGTTGTCGCGCCAGGGCACGCGTAAAGAGGAGGAAAAAAAAAAAAAAAAAAAGGTTAGGAACAAACGACGAAATGTAAACATCACGACGTAGGTCCACTAGGGTAACCCTACCACACACAACCCACCCCATAACAAACGTGACGGGTCGCAACAGAAGCGATTCCAGAAAGCCCATCGTGAGGAAGCTATGATACAGTATCCTCCCCGCAAACAACACGGTCAAGGAGGAAGGAAAAGTGAAGCAATTGGATGAACACTTGAGCCTCAATTCCGCTACCGTACCTTGCTGCGAATTCCCGTGCCAACAGGTCAGGGATGCTCCAAGGTCAATTGAAAGTTCGGCCATCGCCATGGAATCAATTGGTACAGCACCGCACCGGGTCGGACCGCTCTACCGGTTATCGTGTGTTGAAGATGCCATCACCGCCCACCCCTCAAGACTCTCGAGCAGGAGAACGCCAATTCCCGTAGAGTGCCATAGTGCCGATACCCCTATCGAAAACCGCACCATAACGCAAGGGGCATGCCCGATACATCCACCTCACCCGTACCGTGCCCGTGCAATCAAAAAGTCCCCCGGTTCTTTCTCTTCACTTTACCCGGTTTAGCACTGCACTCGATTGCTATGATGGTACAGTATACCGGTATCATACTCGAGTACCGTACTGTGCCTGCACTTCGCCTCTTCCAGCGTTTCAGCAATCACTCTGCCAGTTACAGTACTCGTACATACCAGCACCGTATCCCTTACGGCTCGGCTTGTGATAAACACCCAATCCCCCCCCCTCCTCGAAGCCCGTTCATGGACCGAGGCAACCACGGTACGCTACGGTGCGGCAGGAGACGGAAACCGGTACGAGGCGTAGGGCTGACTTGCTCAATTCCCTAGCCGAGATACCGGTAGACGGGTCCCTCGAATACGAAAACTCTCATACTGTACTAATAGCAGATGACACTACGCACCGACTGAATGTAGAATGCAGACATCTCACCGACGATAATATGGGGGAGGGCTCAACGAACGAACAAGGGGACTCGGCGAACGATACACCAACAAGGTCTTAGCGGGCTGTGGTTTGTTCGCTGACCCCTCGCCCATGTCATCCAGCGAAAAAAAGAAACCCTCCACAAGAAAACCCAATTCCGAGTGAGCCCACATGAATCATCCTCCAACACGAAAACCACGTGACCAGTCGCGTACCTACGTGTGCAGTGTAGCCAAGGAGTCCGGTGTTGTTGTTGTTGTCTCGTGTCCACTGTTTACATTGTTTGGTCCAACGGAGTTCGACCCCCACCCACCCAGCACACAAACCACCAATAACATGCCGGCCCTCGTGCTCGAGTAAGGTGATGGTTATCGCCGTACCGTATTCACCCACCTCCTCCCGAGGAGAAGAAGGCTGCCCGTGAATTCTGTGACTTGAAAAAGGAATTCTTTTACGATGTGGACTTCCTCCGGGGCGTTTGTGATACCGGTATGGGAATCGAATCTGTGGCATTGGGAAGGTGTCTCACCGTGCGTGAGGAGGGACGTCGCCGGCCAATGGCAAACTTGCTTGTAGCATGCTAGTACAGTCAGTACATATTATGATGTCATAAAGTGAGGGTGCTCCGTGAACAGATGCGAATGTCCTACGGAGGGTACGGTACTGGGTATGTAGATGCGGTATGACCTGGGGTACGATACGATACGATACGAAGCATCGTGGACACCGACGACGGTTCACTATATCCACTGCGGCCGGATCTGGGGTACTCGAGTACGGTACACTGTACTGTACGGCTACAGTTGCCAGCGTCAGGATCAAATCGCTACGGTACCGTGGAATGCTGCACACAGGCATCCACGATTCTTCCTTTCCGTCCTGGCCAGAGGCCCTTCCTTACTTAGCTCCCTCTCCCTCTCAAGGAGGATCCGCTCCGGATCGAATCCCAAGTGAAGCCGCACAACAATCAAATTAGTGCATTCTATTTTATTTTATTCTATTTTATTTGAACCGATACGGTACTCGTGGAATCGCCGAGCACAACTAGATTATCTCTACAGACGGAAAGAAAACTACCAGTACCGTACCGCCCACCTTGCGAAAATTTGCCCCCAAAAATAACACAATTACCGATATCTTACTCGTACGAGTACCGTACTGCACCGGTATTCTGACAGCACAATACTCGTAATGTCCTGACGTTTGTGAACACGACCGGGCCTGCATTAGTGTCCATTAGTGTGCATTAGAGCATCCCATATGGGTTGAAGGGGCTCGGGTTACATCTCCCATTATGTGCCCAAAGATCAGGATAAGAAAGTAACTAGCTCTGGAAAGTATCCTTCCTTAACCGGAAATAATCTACTCAAACTCCAAACCAAGACATTTAGTGCTGATTTCTCAGGCACTCGGACGGACCATAGGATATATGAACTGGGGATTGTGGATAAGTCTGTCAAACCTCCCCTTATTGGTTCCAGGTCTTTGCAGCTACTCAAGAAATAGTATTTGCTCTGGGCACTGTACTGAGAGTTCAACAGGCTTTTTTCCTTGGCCAAATTGTGAGGAAACCCACCAATCGTGGGCTCTGGCAGCAGTTCATACACATACAAACTCGGCCTATGATAGGAAAGTTCAACAAATCTTTATATACGCCCCAAGTACATGAGGACTTATGTATGTACTATACTTATATAATGAATGACAATATATAATTTAATACAACAATAAAAGAAATAGATAAATAGAAAATAGAAATGAAAATAGAAGTCAGGTTGAAGACTAGAAATTGAAATTATTTCCCCCATTGTCCGCGATACAAGCTTCAATCCGTGAAGTCATAGAATCTATATGTTAAGAATCCTACCGGGTAGGACCTAGCGACAGGTAATGATACTTCTCTGTAAGGTGATAGCTCTTAGGCTTATGCCTATGCGAACCCGATGGTCTAGTCCTTTGACTACTATCGTACTCGCGCCTATCTCCTTATTCTTCTCCTTGGTCCTCGCCTAGGACTTTAATCTCTTCTTGTGAGAGGAAAGACACTTCTCGGGTTTCTTAAGATAAATCTTAAAGAGCGTAAAGGTAGGTTTTATTGATAATAACTTAAAGGTAGGAAATAAACTAGAAGAACGTGTGAAGAGCTCATACTCGGGGTCCTAGTGACCCTTTATATAGTAGCTCTTCACCTGGCGTGACTCACACCTCGCGTCACGCGAACCCTGTGACTCATAACCATGAGTCATATGAAATCCATCAGACGACTCCTATGAGTCGCTGCGCAACATGCCTAAACCAATCAAAACATAATAACCAAGTCAGGTGCGCAACTCGCGTCACCTGAGTGAAACCCATGACTCATAAGTATGAGTCATGTGCGAAAATCATAACATCGTGTGACTCACAACTGTGAGTCACGAACAGGTAAACATAATAACCTATGGCGCACTAGTGTGCCTCATGTGAAATCCCAACATACTTATAACTCGGAAGTCCGAGCTATGTGAAATCTGCCTTGCTTAGTCACAGTTTGTGACACTATATGATGATTGATTCGGGATAGAGGATAGTTCTTCTACTCCTACATAAATATAAAAGTTAGATAAAAGAAAATTATAAATATAAAAGAAAAAGAAAGAACTTGAAAGTAAAAGGTACCTGCTCGAGAACAATTCGGATCTCCCTTGCGGTCATTCGGGGACCGATCTTTTCATGAAGCTTATCTTTAAGCTCACACCAGATAGTCTCAATGGGATTTAGGTCTGGCGAGTTTGCTGGCCAAACTAGCTTTCTGTAGCCCAATCTTTGACGTGGGATATCATGATAATGGTGAAGATGTGCGGGAGCAATATCCTCCATTATCATATTATCCCTATTGGGAAAGTCTAGCTGAGCCTGTGCAGTAAATGGATACAAAAGGGGGGTTAAAATCCGTTCACGATAGATAAACCAATCAATACCTCCCTTTCTATCTACCTTACGAACTTTCAGTTCAGGTTCTGGAAATGGTGCTTCTAGTCCCTGAGCAAAGCATCGAGCATTTTCCTCTAGCTCAAACTGATACTCTCTCTGCAGTATAAGTGATGCTTCTTTCTGTTGCTTTAAACTTTCATACGGCAATGTGTACATATGATAAGGAAGGTCTTTTCCTATATTAATATATTTTTAATTAGCTTAAATATACATTAGAAAATTATAATAATAATTAAAACGAGAATAATAAAAGTAGTAAATTTATACCATCTTTACCATACAAGATTGCACCCCAAAACATCACAGTAGCCCCTTGGGCAAACTTTCTCTGAATATTTTGTGGCCGGTATGCCTCACCTGCTCTTCTCAGAACACCACGAGCTCGACGGCGACGAAGATTACCAGTTTCGAAATATGACTTGTCGGTAAATATCACACACCGCTAATCTTGGACTCGATATTGATGGCAGAATGCAACTCTTGCTGCTTTTTAGGCTGGGCTCAGAGTTGGCTTCGTAGTTGGCTTCCGACGATGAATTTTATTTGCTCGTAAAACCTTCGCCACTGTCTGTCAGCTGATATCTAAATTGGCTATTATTTGTTTATTGTTTAGTTATGTACATAATATTATAAGAATATCAATATGGATTAAAAAAAAAAAATACCGGCCTCAGCAAGCTGAGCAAAGGTCATTCGACAGTGCTCAGCATCCTTTAATGCTGTTTCAACCAAATGATTCTTTTCCTGATCATTAAG